ATATCAATAATTAGTCAGTTGGCATTCAGGAGCCTGAATTGCCTTTTGAGAATGAATTATGTGTGGTGCTGTAAATTTTAATTTCAGCCTATTAAGCTATAAAGCAAGAGGGATGAAATGCTCTTTGTGCTGTCTCGGTGGATAAAGTGTTTAAATTAGACGATATCCCATTCTGAAGCCGCTTACCTTCGGTGCAACCGCAAAATCCGCCTGTGCAGAACGGTGAGCTCCGTAGGTTTGCGGACGTGGGGAATATGTTTAATAGTGTCGATCTCCTTGGCATTGCTGGTGAGGATGACACAAGATCCTAGAGTGGGAAAGGAAGGGAGAGAACTTAAGAAGAAGAAGTTTCTTGGGCCCCAGAGTGACTAAACACAGTGCACTGATGGTGGGGGGGAAGGTCACCAGGAGAGGTAGGAAATCTGCCGATAGTGACCCCGAGTCTCTGGTTCCTCCTTTCGCAGCTCCTCCGAAGACGGTCAAGCCCCCAGAGGAACAGCTGAAGGCCGAGAACATCCAGCTCTCCAACTCCTTCAACTACAGCGTGCTGCAGCATCTCGGCCAGTTCCCACCTCTCATGCCCAACAAGCAGCTCGTGGAGTCCAACAGCAGCAGCAGCCAGCAGAGCGCCGGCGGGAGCAAGCCCGTCATGTCGTACGCGAGCGCCCTGCGGGCTCCCCCAAAGCCCAAACCTCCTCCTGAGCAGACAAAAAAGAATAGCGACCCTTTGTCTTTGTTTCAGGAACTTAGCCTAGGTAGTTCATCAGGTAGCAATGGCTTTTACTCCTATTTTAAATAATCAGATTATTTTTTTTAGAGAGAATTTAATTTTTATTTGTGTCGGTAGGTCTAAGATAGTTGGGGCTTCACCTGTAGTTGCAAATATTCCCTTTGTTTATATTAGTAAATATATCCTCACTTAATTGCTTTGCTGCTAGACTTGCAACTAATTTTTTTAATTATATTCCATTATTTTGCATTTTTTGATGTGGGTCGGTTTTTTGGAAGCTTTTCTGTAGGAAAACACACATATTATTTTTTAATTTGTGTAATGTTAATGATATGTTGCATTAAACTAGCAGCTGAGAGGTTATCTGTACAACTTTAAAAAAAGGAAAAAAAAAAGAAAAAAGGAAAAAAAAGGAAAAAAAAAGTTTGTCTAAATTGTATTTAAGAAGATTGTAAGTAGCATTTACATTTATTCAATAACATTAGCATACTATGCTGGGTTTCTGTACCAGAAATGGCCAGTTAATGTAAAAATGTATGTTATTTCTGCTTAAATTCATTTAATTTTTTTTTTTAAAATAAAGGTGCAGCATCTTCTAAATACTTTCAGTTTTATCAGCTTTTTTGTGAAGGGATGCTGCATTCTCAAGACTTTTATAGTTTTAGATTCTGTATGATGTGGTATTGTATTTTCCATCCACTGTAGAGTAAAGTAAAGGCATTCTTTGCAGCCACCTATGCCATTGTTTGGAAACATTCAGATAAAAAGTATTGGTATACTTTAAAAAAAACAATAATTATATTAAAAAAACAAACAAAAAACTCCAAAAATAATAAAAAAACCAAACAAAAAAAAGCAACAACAAAAAAACCCAAAAAAACCTCTACATTTTATTTTTGGACAAGCTAGTAATATAAGCTTGTTTGAAAAGTTAATTTGATAGGTTTTTTAAATGAATCATGAAGCTGAAAATAAATTTTTAGGTATGTTGGTGCTTAGTAGATTTAATAACTATTTTAAAAAAATGCGTGAATTTAGTAAAATACTTTTTTGTTTGTTTGTTTAAATTTTTTTTTTTCCACTATGCATGTGTAAATGTTTGTAATCTGGCTTCTCCTCCCCTTCTCCAGTGGTATAAAGAATTGTGCCGCTTTAAATTTTTTTTTTTTTTTTCCGGTAAAACTTTTGGTACATTATTTGATGTTTACATTAAAATGTGACATTATACAAGGAAATTCAGATATTTTGCTAACTGTTTTGTTTGAGGAACATCATTAAAGAAGAGATTTAATGTTTGTCAAAGCTGTATCCAAATTAATCTAAATCTTGTGGGGATAAGGATGGTTACCAGGTTATTTCTCCATATGAGTTCTGCTAAGTTCTCCACAAAACTTCAGGAAGACAAATTAAAAAAAAAAAATTAATTATGAACTATTAAAAAATTAAAGAAACAAGTGTGAATGAAAACTTGGAAGATAAACTTTGTCCATAAAGATTTCTGGTCTTGCTCATCGTTCATGCTTTTGCAGCTGGGCAGTAGAGGGGAGTTGTATCGTTCCTCCTTTTACACGTGAAATAACTTTTGAATCTGGGACATATTTTCCAGGGACTGGCCTGGGTGTAGTTGCAGTATTCCTCCACTTAATTAAAATTTTGGAGCCGTGTGGGGGTGATTTCAGAGTTTTCCAGCTGTCCGTGGGACACCTTGCTAATGAGCAGTGGCTGCTGCTGTATTTAATCAGATTTTTGCTCTGGTTACAATCAGGGGTTCGTTATTTTGTGTGTGTGTGTTTTTTTTTTTTTTTCATTTGACTTCATGTTTTAAGGCAAAGGTCTTTATGGAACGGGCTTGATTTAAACTCAGTACATTGCAGAGGTTTGCATATAAATTTGTTATTATAAATCTTTGCTGGTTTATGATTCAGAAACTGATCTGAAAACCCTTTTTCCTTCTTTTTGCTGTAAAGAAAAGCACGTTAATTTATTTCCTAATGTCTATACCAAACAACAGATGCTGGGGGAGGGGAAAGCCCCTGCCAAGTTAACGCTTAGCGCTTCAGCATACGGCGTCAAATCAAGAGGAGCTAAAAATGAGTAGAGGCCAAATCCTGCAACTTTGAATCAAGGAAAACTACTGTTAAATGGGGTTTTTGTGGAGCCGACGGCTGCAGAAACGGGGCCGTGGGAAATCCGTTTGCAGGGGACGGGCGTGTGCTCGGCGCGAGGCAGCCTCAGCCTTTGGATTTCAGCGGAACCGCCCCACTTCTCCTCAGCCTGGCACCGCTCGGCGAGAAGAAGGATCTGGGTGTGCCTGAAGGCTTGAAGAGTTCTCGATGAGATGGGCGCGACTCTGGCGGAGGAGAGGTAGGGTTCGACTTGGCCGAGTCGGCACTGCGATGTCAGGGCTTTCGAAAGCACTCGGTTATACGGAGCAGTCTTTTCTGATTCTGTTCACCATAGTGGAATTTTAAACTAATAAACATCACTTGTTAATTTACCGCTATCTGTCAATTAGTTAAGGGGGCGATGGTCGCATCTCGCCACATTTTATCCTGTCTGACGCTGGCATTTTATCGACACTGAGAATATTATTATAAAGGAGTGTTTTCTCTCTGCATTATAACTTCGGTTCTATAACTTTATGAAAATCCTTTCTGGTTTTGGTTATACATAAGTGCTCTCACCCAGGAGTTTGAGAATGATGTAGTAGAGATCATCTGTCAGCTTTGGAAGTATTTAGCATGAATCAGTTGCATTTCTTAGAGTTAATTTTTTCTCCAAAAGATTGTTTATTTTGAAATGTCTTGTATATAGCCCTGAGTGATATCTTTCGTTTTTAGAGGAAATTACCTGGTGTTTATTGAAGCCATAGCTGCTTAAAAAAGCCCCAGACTGTATTGTAAACTCTTCTAGGGCTTTAATCGAACTCTTATTAAAATCAAATTAAGCCTTATAGATGGCTCCAGTGGGCACTGGCTCAGGTTGCGTTGTAAATATGGAGCTGGTGCAGTTACAGTGAAAATTTGAAATTATGAATTGGATTTCTATAAATTGTCTCAACTCACAAGAAATGAGTGGAGGCCTTGGGCTCCTTGACTTTTCTTTCTACTTAGAAGTACAGTTAGTGCCAAATCGCATGCTCTTTACCCTGGAATAAACCCCCATTGTTGTCTGTGGAAAATCTAAACGACAAGGTTGTCCAGATCTAAATTTAGAAAGCTTGAAATTAACATGAGAAATAAGTTCTGGTTTTATTTTCTTCCAGTTTTTCATGAGAAAAATCTGGATGTCTCATGGGAGGTTGTCAGTGTGGTGTTAAGAACTAATAAAGAATCGAGAGAAAGATTTTTTTAAAAGTGTTATGTGGACTTCAAAAAAATAAACTTCTGTTTGCATTGCGAATAGAGCTTCTACCCTTTAAAAGGCTACTTAGTGAGTGCAGCCGGTAGCTTTCTCTGGCTGTGTTTGAAGACTGAATTCTTCCTTCTACCAAGTCAGTAAAAGAAACCGGAGGAGATGCCCCTCTCTTCTGCGAGCACAGAGGTAACTGGGAGCTGGATTCTGAAATGACGCTCACGCCTTTTGAGGCCGTAGAACATCCCTTCGGTGTCCCAGGTGAACTGTGTCGCGGTGCTGTGGGATCTGCGTGTGCTGCCCCGGTTTGCTCCTGCCTTTCCTGCCTGTGGACATCAAGCCGCTGCTGAGCCGAGCCGAGGGCTCCAGCAGAGCTTCCGTGGCACGGCCCTGCCCCACGGCAGTGGTTTTGGGGCTGTCACGGGCTCTCATCCGTAGGACACAAAGTGGTGTGGATGCACCCGGGGATGCGTTCTTGTGTCTGCTCGCAGTGTCGAGCTCCTCGTGGGTCACAGGGATGGTTCTGTCTGGTGTAAATCCTTCACCCTTTGCGATGCTCAGCTGCTATTCAAACGGCAGCTGTGTTTCCACAATATAACTAATAAATAGCTGTTACACGTAAAAAACAGAACCAAAGCCCTTCCATCCATGTTTTCTTGTGGAAGTTGGCATGTCCTATAGTTGGTGCTGTTTTACTCAGTTGTATGGGCTGTGGCATTGCTGACCCTTAGCAGAATGGGAATACTGCCACTGACTTTTCAAACCCTCTGAGTACTGTTCCCTCCTTTGATTAATTAGTGTTTTGTTCCCAGATTTGCCAAGTTCAGCTGGTTTTTTTACAGAGATCATGCTCTATAAGCAGTTCTTTTGCGATGTATGTAATATCTTTACTATAAGTAGCACCGAGTGCGGTGTGTTGGACCCTTTAGATGTTCTTTCTAGAGTGAACTCAAGCATATTGGAATCTGCACTTTTCCAGAGCAATAAGCCTGTGATACTTCATGCTCTGTCCATATCATCGTTCCAGTAATTTCATTGGTTTTGTTAGTTTTTTAAGTTTCTAGAAGAACTGCAGACGATTAACTTGTCAAGACAGATGGTGATGATCTATGGTGCCTATAAAAATTTGCACATCGTATTCTTTGACATGAAATATGGGCTATTTCTGTTGGTATAGCAATACTTGCTCTGGTATCTTGTTGTGTTGGGGAGCAAGGACTGAATCATTCCGAATTTTTAAATTTTTTTTTCATTGAAGAAAATTAGAAGGATTTACAGCAAATGTGATGGAAATGTCAGTTTGGTGTGGGTTTTTTTGGCAACTTTAGCTTTAGTTGAGAAATGTTGAAAAGTTTTTATCTCCTTAAGGATCAGTAGGTGCTGCTGATAAATGACAGAAAATGCTCCTTTCACGAGACCAGGGAAAAGCCATCGTTGTGCTCCTGTTGAGACCAGTGATAGTGGCCACGAAACAGCCAGAGCCCGGGGTGCAGCCCTGCCAAAACCAGCGTGTGCTGCTGGTTCTGTTCACAAGAAAGCGGGCCAGAAATCAGAGTTTATCCCCTTCTCTGCGTTTCTTTGTAGAAAGCAGAAGAGCAGCTCCCTGTCTGCCCGGATGCCGAGCGTGCATATGTGCTGTATGTATGGCTTGAATTTATGTTCAAAGCTTCACCGGCGCCAGAACATCGATCAAGTATGACAAAGCAGGAACAACCTCATCCTTGAGTCAAAACAGAGACATGACGCTCTCTTCTTGCCCCTTGGTGATAACGGAAAGGAAAATAATTTAAACGAATACATTTAAAACAGGTCATATTGTGTGTGTAGCAAGAGCAAGAGGCACTGTCCCACCGTGGAATGTGGAAACTTATTTTAAATGAAGTACAAACAGGTTTATTGCAGCTTCTGCACACTGCTCAGGTTCCTGGCGTTCAAATGCCCGACTGTAGCTCACTGGATGGAGCCCAAGGGCGCGGTGTTAAGCCCCGAGGCCCTCCCTGGGGCTGGCAGGGTGGAGCACTGCAAACAGCCTCTCCCGACGATGATGAACTCCGGAATAGGGGGTACAGGGTATGTTCCTCGAGCTGTCGAGCCCAGGAGAGAAAGTGCTTCTCTGTGGCAGGGCCAAAGATCTTGTTGCAGCAGGGAAGGAATTCTCAGATGTTCAAGACTTTCCGGAAATTATTTCTACAACTCTTCAAATGAAGAGAAGAAAGAGGTGATGGCCACCAGGAGATGACAGAGTGGGAAGGGATCAGTGTGAAAAAGAAGTAATTATACCTGTGTCTTTGTGAACCACGTGCTGTGGTGGTCAGACACTCAGCATAGTACGTATGTTGGCCCTTTTCAGGCATCTGAAAAGCAGCATTTTGAATTTCTGAATGAAACCCTCTCTGTGTGCACCCTTGTGTGCTATAAAGCCGCTGACCGGTGAGCCGGGGCGAGCTCTTCATCCCCTGCCTGGCTGGGGTTGGGTTGTTGCTGCTGCGGTACCTCTTTGCAGATAAAAGCTGCTCTGAGAGCTCAGCAAGCTGCTTGCACAACAGGCAATTTCGTTCTTCAGAGTTGTTAGTCTGGCACCTTTTCTGCACATTAAATTCACACAACACAGCATTTAAAAATAAGGGGAGCAGATTCTCACTGTGCCGTGTGCCTAACAGCGAGTCTTACTCTTACATAAACAAGAAACTTCACGTCTTCTGTGGCACAGACTCTGTGATTTAACACTTGGGCTTTGCATCCGAAATCTTACACCACCGTGTCACGTGCGGTGCTCTGGGGCACCTCAGTGTGGGTGCCCTGAGGAGGGGAGGGCCAGTGATGCTGGTTTTGTGGAGTGGCAAATGGCACATGCCCAAGGGACCTGGGACTGAAGGTGTCCATGAGTCTGGTAGTGGCAGGACTGAGGCTCAGAGCTTCATGGTTGCTGGTGGTAGTTACTTGTTCTGCAGATTAATTTGTCTCTTCTCTCTGGTGTGTGCTTCCCACTTGTTTTTTTTTGTCCGTGTCCTAAACCCGTGTCTGCTCCTGTTGGTTGTGTAGCAGCCAAGTTCCTATTCCTGTTTTGCTCTGATGACTCCCTGCCAGTGAGGATTTCTTTTCCATTTTTGTGCTCCATTCCTGAAGTTTTGGTGTCAGTTCCTTGCTATTTGCTCAGCTGAGAGAATGAAAACTGAAACTGCTTACAGCTCCCCCTGAAACATTATATCCTTCATTGTCCTTTATGAAGGCCAAGTACTTTCATTAACTCTCCCAAAACACATTATCGGCTCCCTGGCAGAGAGATTTAGCTGTGGCAGAACAAACCTGCCTTTCCCGCCATGCATACCAATGACCAATTTAATGGACAGGTCCCTCATCAGCATTTCTGTGTGTCTGGAAAACAGGAGATGAAGTCATCCGTGTGCTTCTCAGTCTTGTGGGGACCGTAAGAAGTAGTGAATGATCCAAAAGCTTCAGCTTAGAGCAGGCAGTGGATAAAGCTCAGTGAGTTTAGGAGCTTCAGGAGGCATCTAGCTCAGCTGCTCGAGTTGCTGTGTGGGTGTAGGGTCTCGCTGCCCTGAGCTGTGGCTTTTCTCTGCCTTATGAGTAAAGTGAGCCCAGAGAGGCTGTAAAACCTCTGGATCTAGGCCAGCACTCACTGGAAATCCCTCCATCGCCCTCATGGACCTTGGCCGAAGCAGTTCAGCGCATGGGTTGGGTGAGACCTTCCAGGAAGAACTGATCTCAAATATGCACGTCTTGAGTACCGCGAAGGGGAGCAGCCAGCTCCTTGGCTGGGCAGCAAGTTGGCCAGTCAGGATAAGGAGCCACGTAGAAATTACTTCATCCCAGGAGAAGCGTTGCAAGAGAGTGATGATGCTTCAGAGAAGTGGGGAAGAAGGGCTTCCTGCGAACACACCAGGTCTGCACCGAGTGGGGAACTCAGACCCCAAGCCTTGCTTTTCTCAAGCCACTGCGCATCCGAGGTGAGGTCATTTAGGTGACGACGGCTGAGGTGGGGATGCCTTTGGGAACGCCCGTGTGCCTGCCAGCTGCTTTGCTGGGATGAAGCTGTGCTGCCCGTGTTTGGAGAGCCCAGCCCAGGGTCAGCACCGCAGAGGTCCTGCCGACCACTTTCCTTTCTGTTGGCTAATGTAGAGGATCTCCCTAGGAACTCGCCTCTGTTTTCCCGAACAATGAAAATGCAAATTAAGAATGTCAGCTCCGTACCCAAAAATAAGATCTCAAAACCATTTAGCATTTCACAGTGGTTCAGTGACAACTTGAAGACTTGCAGTTGTCTCTCCTACTCAGAAATGAGCCCCAATGAACGCTTTAGCCCAAAACTTTGTAATGTGTGTGTTATTTGTAGTGCACATCAACTTCAAAGAGCTTGAAAAAAAAATCTTAATGCAACTTCACAAAAAGCTTTTGTTCTTGCTGCCATTCTAGTGCTGAGGACGTGGAGATGTGCCTGAAGCTGCTCGGGGTCTGCTGGGGCTCAGTGTGCCCAGACAGGGTCTGGCCGATGGCGGGGCCATGGGCAGCCCCTCGGACCAGCGCAGAATTGCTGGGGAACTTGTTGCAATGTCTGAGCGTGTCACCATTTCAGATCTCTTCAAACTGACCAGAAAATTTCTGTTCCAAATTCGGTTTTGCTTTAGAATTGTGGTCAGCAAAGTGCAGAGGGAAAGGCGCCTCCATTTCCTTTTCTCACGCTTTTTAAATTGTCGCATGAAAAAAACCCTGCGATGCAAAACATGCTTTGTCCTGTTTGTTGGGGGGGAAATGCTGAGCAGATTCAAAAAACTGAACTGTAAAAAAATAAAAAAAGACACCCGCCTCTTGGTGCTGGGGACTGTGACAGTGTGCTGAGTGAGCGCACGGGCTGAGGCACCCCCAGTCCCTCCCAGTCCCTCCCAGTGCTGCAGGTGGCCGAGCACTGGGAGGGCTTCGCAGCGCAGGCAGCCCCCGCAGCCCCCCTCCCCGTCAGCGATGCCGTGGGTGTGGGTTTCTTCAAGCAAGCGTAAAAACCGACGCACTTCTGTAGTATTTTCAGGGCTGACTCTCCTGCGTGTTTCAGTCTAAAGTCCTTTCCTTCTTGGCAGCTACCTCGAAGGTTTTTTTTTTCCCGAAATGTAGTTTTATATACATATTCAGTGAGCAAAGCACGGTATTAAAACGCCCATTCAGGAGGAAGAAATGAGAGCTCCGCACAGTAAATACCATCCAGAATTACACTGTCATTCTGGACCTGGCACAATTTGATGGGCCAAGTGATTCATCCATCAAAATCATTTTCCAGAAAATCACGCTACTGGAAGATTAGGCTTTTTATTAAAGGAAAAATATCACTCTTAACGTTCAGTACTTCCTGGCTTTGCCACCAGAGTTTAAGCAGAACAAAAACTATGTTTTGTGGGATTTTTGTGCTCAGTTCAAAAGAATGGAACTGTAGGGTGTAAATTTGTAGGAAAAAAATTTATGCGAATGCTAGGCAAAGGGGTTTTGATGTGATTTTTTTTTTTCTTTTTTTTTTTCCCAATAATTTTAACAGTTTAATAGAATAGCATAAGGATCCTCAGCTTGTTCCAGAGCAGTGAGCTAATCCTTCTCAGGGAGGTAGAGGAGTACAGCCTAAGTGGGGAAACAGACTTCCCATGGAGCTGGAATTTCTCACTGTCTCTCTCTGACTCAATGAGGTGTAAAAGCTGAATCTCCCCCATGGATCTACACCCAGCTCCACCAACATCTCCCTAAGAAAGCTCTTCTGTGTGGTGTGAGCCGTCTCACACGTTATTTTCCCCCAACTGCATCAGCACAGAGCAGTGCCATGCACCCATGACCCGTGCTGGTGTTGAATGCTTCTTCTGTTTTCTTTAAAAAAAAAAAAAGAATAAAACAAAAACAAAGCAATAGTTACAATCGCGACCCGTGCTGGAGTTGAGTGCTTCTTCTGTTTTCTTTAAGAAAAAAAAAAAGGATAAAACAAAAACAAAGCAATAGTTACAATCGAACATGCCTCGGTTCAGTAAAGACTTAGTGAATGGAGTGCACCTTGCATAGGGAGACCCAGACATTTTACAAAATGCAAATCTTTTCGAAGCACTTGTGGCTTTTTTGATGGGTGCTGGGAACATCAGTGCTCTGGCTCTGCATCCATGCAGGTCTCCCAGGGGTTCTGGGGGAAGCGAGGCAGTGCGATCAGGAGGAGGGTGATGCCGCAGATGAAGAGCAGGACGAAGGAGGCGCAGGCACAGGCGAAGGACCAGGAGTAGCTGTACTCAATCCAGACTGTGTCCTCACTGTCGATCATCCTCTTCACAGATTGTCTCATGACTTCGACAGAGATGATGATGCAGAGACCTGAAAGAAGATAGGAGCAGTGGGTTGAATAACCAGCTGTCAAATTTTCATCCTTAATTAACCACCTCATCTGTCTTCTTGGATCCAGGAACTGCAGTGAGATTCACAGGTGAGTCATTGGCTTCAGTATTAGAAGGAATCAACACTCTCAACTGCTCAGAGCTCTGCTCTAACCCAGGCCACACAAGTCAGTGGTGACTTGTTGAGTGTGACCTTTTAGAGAGACTTGGATGGGAGACTTAAGGCGGTGGAGGGATAATTGCATTTCCTCGGGAGCTTTTCCAAAGGTTGAGTTGGATTTTTATCGAAGTGACAACTTGCACCTCTGTCTTTCAGTCACTGGGACATGTCAAGGTATTACTAGGTCATGCAAAAATGCTTGGGTTTGGGAGGCAGCTGTGTATTTTGGGCCTGGATCAGCTGTGTCTTTTGTTTGAGTTTTGATAACTGAGACAGAATAGTGTCTATCTCTGATTTAGGCTGACTGGCACCGAATGTGCTAAAAATGCCCCTTTTAAAGATAATTGGAGACAATACAGCTACACTGCCAGGTAATGCTTGCTGGAGCACCACATAGGGACTTGGAGTCTGACTGTGGTTGGGAGGAAAAGGCCACTTTCAGGGCATTTTTAGAAGTGTCTCCATCCTCCCAGGGTCTATCTAAGTTTCTCTGCTTTGTCCTATGAACTGAGTGCATGTATGTGAGCACTGAGCCTCCTACCTGCGAAGGTGTAGAACATAGACGCTGGCTTCAGCAGATAGTCCCTCTTCTTCCTGAAGGATAAGAGGACGCAGATTGTTCCGATGATTGCAAAGCCAACGCTGAAGATGGCAATGGCTGCAGCCGAGATACTGTATTCTGCCAAAGCAAAACAAACACCAAAAAGGCAAACGTGTGCAAATTTTGAGCACGCTCCCGTCAGCTGTGGTGACTTTGCAGTAGGTCACTCTGAGAAAGCCGTGTCCTCCCGCTGCTATGGAGAGGTGGCTCTGGTGAACTGGGGATTTGCCTCAAATAAAAGCAGGGGCAAGCACTGGCCGTGTATCTTTTTGAATGTGAAGGGTATAAAACCAGAGCAGGAGGGGAAAATGCTTTCCGAACACTGATTGAAAACAAATGGCACCTGCTTTGGTCTGATGAAGCTCTGGGCTGGAGTCGTTTGAGCTCTGCTGCAGAGATGTTACTGATGAAGCCTTACTGGGCTCCACACTCTCGTTCCTTGCACCACTCCTCACACTGCTCACAGAGCAAATAGACAGACCTACGTTATTTTTACTCCATATCTGTAGCACAGAGCATAAGCAAGGCCCCAGTGCCCGGTGCCCACGTCGTTCTGTGTGCTCCATGGGGCTCAAAACCCAAGTAGGCAAAGTGGGCAGGAGGCTGGAGGTGAAGTGTTTGCAGAGCATCTTTTTTTTTTTTTTTTCCCCCGTTAAGACAATGGTTTCCAGCTCTGTGAAAACCCAGCTTCTTCAGGGCATAGGATTAACCCTCTGTAACGTGTCCTAGTTTTCTCTAAGCCAGCTGAGATGGGAACTGGGCAGTTCCTCAGCCGAAGCACACTTGAGTGCCTGAACCGAGGGGAAGAATTGCTAATTGAATAATTCAGGCCTTCATTTACATATTGCATTCGTTTTCAGATTAGTTTAATATTTAACACATGTAGCCATGCGTGAACATCACAGTGCCTGATGATATTTGCCTTTCAAGCCATTAAAAAAAAATATCTCCCAGGCAAAATCATGAATTTTTTTTGCCTGTTACTAATTAGCTCCCATCAAATCGCAGCTATTTCTGTGAAAGGGAACAGCAGATCACTCTTTGTTCTCATTGCTTCTCATACCACTGTTTTATTATAGTTTCCTTAACGTTTCTCTTTACTATGTGCTGGAACTGCCTGAAAGAGCCCATTCTGGTGCAAAAATTTTTTGCTGGGGCTTAAGCTTTTGCTTCAAACAAAAGAAGTTCTTCCTGATTTTTTTTTTTTTCCCCTGAAATTACTAAGAAGGCATTGGGTGCATTTTTAAGATCAGATGGCTGGATCTGATAATACATAAATGATCAAAACCAGGTAGCTCAGATATATGCTCCCCTCTCCACTTAAAATTCCCAGTGTCTTTCCTGTCTTAGGAAACTGCTTTTTTAGAAAGCCTGTGTGCACGGTTTTCCACCATTATCATTTCCAATGGAAGCAAAGCAGATTATTTAATGTGTGTCATGTAATCATCAGCTCATTTACTCCCCAGCAAACTATGTCATGTGGCAAACTGGAAAGGAATTTGTCCTCAAGGAGAGGGTGAGAAAGAGAGAAGAGCATATTAGATGAGTGCTCCAAATATTAGGCTTTGTCAGGGACTTATGAGAAATGTGAAACTTTTCTGAGAAGGTCTGATTTCCAAATGCATGCTCCATAAACACTGCCTGTGTTTTTGTAGGATCTCCTTTCCTTCGACTGATCGCTTTTGTTTTTCACGTGACTTCCATATAAAATCAGTCTGAAGCATAAAATCCTGATGGTCTTCACAGAGTCTCTGTGCTTCCTTTCAGGGTCAAGGTCCTGCTTGGGGTGTGATTTATTTATTTAGATTTCATTTATTTCCTTCAAAGCCTCGGAGTGTCGCAGCTCGTGCCCATGTTGTAAAGTCCTTCTCATGCTGAAAAGACTTTTTGCAGTTTTCATGTGTATTGACATTGTTATATATTTGTGGGAGAACTTGAAGTAAAATCACACTTCTGAGTGTGATCGTATATAAAAATTATCCTTCCCAGGAAGTTGGCATTTGACCTTGTTCAGGCCATTTTTAAAACTTCCTTCCCAGCTAGGGCTATCTGCTAGAAATTCCCGTGGTGCTTTCAGTTAAACCGGGCTCGAACCTTCATTTTTGGGGAACATTTTGTCTTTGATCTTGTGTTCACCTCAGTTTGGAAAATATTTTTCAGTATTGTTCTTACCTTTCTGAGTGGTTACTTCAAATATCTCCGAGCTCTGTCCTGGTGTGAAGTGCTTGAAGTAGGAGCAGTTGCGTTCTGAAAGAGGAAAGGAAATTTAATCTTGTGTGCTTGGAAATCTGTCATAAACTGTAGTAAAACTGAATTTGCTTTTTAATTATATATCAAACTTGCAATGTTTTTAAGATTTCCTGCCCTTGGTGATACCACGAAATTGGAAATTCAGGAGGAGGTGAAAATTGGAAATTCAGGAGGCTTGTGTGTGCCAGACCACCTGTTCCAGCGTGGACAAAGGCTGAAGGCCCCTCTGACGCCTTTTGTGAGCTGTTTCCCCCAGAAGCTTTGCACACTAATTGCTCGTCTATTTAAAATATGAATTCCTGTGGCAGCTGCTGGCAGGGGGAGCTGCTCGGGGCAGTTTGCTGTGTGGGTGGGGGGTGTCACCACCCCCTGGGGGTCCCAGAGATGAGGCTGCTGCAGTGCAGCAAAGCAGGTGGTGTTTGGCTGCCATAGGGACACGAAGGATTGGTTTTTGGCTGTCGCTAAAGAGAAAGAAAAAGCGACACGAAGCTGCAAAAAGCTGTGCAGGGAAGGGAAGGCTGATCGAAGCCATCTGAGTCAAGGGCAAAGGGGCTCTTGCCCGACCTGGCTTTGCTGAAATTCTGTCCTATCAGAGCAATCTCTTCAGTTAATTTCCTAAGAGAGCACTTAGCGTTGAGCAAGCTGGTCTAGTGGGAGGTGTTGCTGCCCATGGCAGGGGTTTGCAACTGGATGGTCTTTAAGGTCCCTTCTAACCCAAACCATTCTGTGATTCTATGATTCCAAGTTCCTCCACCTGGACTTAACATGAGCAGGCTGCCAGGTACGTGGGGTATTTATAGAGCGATTTTGAAGTGAACAGGGATCGAGACTGTGGGGCAGGGGGATACTGGGCAGAGGGAGGTTGGTAGTGATGTCCTTGCGGTCAGTAGGTACACAGGTGCTCTCGGCCTCCGTGGGATGGGGAAGGGTCTGGTGAGGAGCTGCTGGCTCAAAGCTTTGGCAGCAGCAGGGTTAGGGTGGAGGGTGTTCTCGCTATTTATAACTGGTTTAATTGAAGGTTTGAAGGGGCGTGGAGCTGGGAGAACAGTTGCTCGCCAAGAATTTGGCTGGAAGGGTGCAATCAGGGAGACGCGCTGAGCGGCGCCAACTCTGATTGCACTATTCTGCGGAGCTGGGCTGGAGACGACATGCTCAGTGCCTGCCCCAGCACCCCTCCTGCACCCGGGTTGGACTCGCATCACACCTGGAAACCGTGCCAAGAGTGCACAAAATCCGAGTGCTGCCTGCAGCGAGAGGCCACTTGGTTCTCACCAGTTATCTCTTGTCCGTTAAATAACGGAGCGAGCACCAGTTTCCAGAAGATGCTGCACAAAGTCTGAGGGGACTTTGTGGTCCTTTCTGGCATCCAAACCAGGACCTGGGGCAGGTTGCAGGGTACAGCCGGAGCCAGTTCCCGGGTGCAGAAGCACATGGGGTGCTCTGAGGGCTTCTGCCTGGGGACACAGTGATATTGGTGGTTATTCATAGCATTAATTTCTAGTGGCAAAAAGATACCAGCGCACTGTATGTTACCTGTTGGGACTTGTGTTCTGTCACATAAATGGCAGATGTTGGAGTTACTAATCCAAGGAGGATTTATTTTCTCTCTTCCAGCAGCCAGGCAATTGTAAAGCAATGTTTTTGGGCCCATTAATGGAAGATTCCTTCGAGACATTCTTATCTACTTAATTGTATAAGCCAACTTTTATTTTGTCTGCAGCTTCTCCTTGCTGGAGACTAGGTTAATGTTCAGCTTTGGCATCGCCTGACCTGTTCTTTATTATCCTTCCAAACGACTGGAGGAAACATATCTGAACTCAGACCTCTATGACTGAAACGGCAGATTTTGAGCCCCGGAGCAGAGGTCGTATGCCTCTGCCAGTGATCGAGACAGAGCACCTAGGCTGGTGATTGCCGTTTGGGGATCCTTCAGCTCCTGTGCTAAAATGGGGATGAAACTGGGACATTTTATTTTGGATTATTTGGTTTGGCTTTTAACGAATTCTCTGAAAAGCCTAAATTTGGAGTCCCCAGGTGTGTTGACTGTACGAAGCCATCCAGTGTGATGGGGAACACAGCTCAGCTTCATGTCCATCGCAGGCGAACCAAACCAACCCAGTCCACCTGCCAGTCCATGAAGGCTCATCAGAGCGGGGAGTACACAAAACCTTTTAGAGATGGACTTGTCTGCAGGAGGAGCTGCCTCTTGTCTTGTGGCTTATGGCAAAGCCCTCCCAAGGTACGATAAATGGAGTTTTCACACAAGTGGGTTAGCTCCAGGGGAGGTGTTTTTGGAAAATGCATTTATTGTGGGAAATTTTAATTAGATTGGTTTTGGTGAAATCATATATTGTTTTCAGTTTAAAGCTGCTTTGGTGCTCTGCTGAGCTGGGAATATCTGTTTCAACAAGGCTCCCTGTTATTCAAGAGAACTGAGGCACTTGAATACCTCTCTGGTGCCAACATGAATAAGAGAAAAGCCCATTTGTGTCACACCACATTTACATAATGGATAGGATTTAAAATGGGGTTTATAATGGATGAAAACTGTGTGGCAATCTTTGTTTCTCTCCACCTCTGGCTGCATTATCTCTGCCATGAGGTCAGCTCAGTGTGCTGATGGGAACAGCCCAGGCACTCCGTGGTCATTAAGGATCCCACGAACTTCAGGGCTGTAACACGGTTTGTCACACGGTGTCCTTCCCCTTCTGGGTCCTCAAAAAGGCCACAAGATCTTTGGGCCACGCAGAGTTTCAGGTGGCAGCTGTCACCCATGAGATTTGGAGTGACAAGCTGGGAAGGGGCTGGAGCCCACGTTGCTCTTGAACTTGAGAGGGACTCTAGCCTGGATGGTTAGAAAAACCTGGATTTTAATGTAAAGTTTCCACTTGGATTGAGTTTGTGAGATGGGACCTGCTGCTGTGATTAGAGGAGATGCTAATGTGAGGGCAAGGGGAGTCAGACCTTGGGCTCTGACCTGGCCAACAAGCCAGGGGAGGGCCTTTGACACACTCTGAATTTTGGAGATGACATCTCCAAATAGTTTGATTTCTTATCAGTCTTGCGGAGTGAGTCTCTTGTATGGACACGAGTTATCAGCGGGGCTGATAACCCATTTGCTGAAGCAGCACTTTTCCTCTCCAGCTGCCTGAACTCAGGCTCCCACGTTTGCAAAGACCTCTTTAACCCGCTGGCAGCGTACGGAGGCTGCGGATCATCCCGGTGTGCTGGCACGCAGGAGGCCAACGCCTCCTTAGCTGGGGTTACTGGCACAGAAGGCAAACTCAATTTACAGCCTGTAGTAAATGCCCCAGTGCCCACTGGCCACAGTTAACAATGTCTTGGTATTAATCTGAATTTGCTCAGCTGTAACAACTGTCTTTCCTGATCTTTTTATTTCTTACAGCAGGATGCTGAACCCTTCCCAATTTGTCAACGTCTTTGGAAGAGAACCGTAAAATTTTAAAGCTCTGCCTAAATCACAGCCCTGCTTTGTGGACTGCAAGCCAAGTCATCCTCCCCATTTTGCACCGTGCTGAGCTCAAAACCTAATAAATAAAGTTAATCGTGCCATCCATTTCCTCCTCAGGGAATGACTGGCAAATGGTTATTAATACAGTGATAAATTCTTTTGTTTCTTTTCCAATCCTGGCAGTAACGTCTGGTCTTCTCTCAAGATTTTTAGGAAAACCAGTGACCGCATCTGCTCTTTTACTGCACGTTTGTTCATTCACATTTTCTCAGCCACTGCAGGTCTCACAACCCTGGTGTTTCCCTGCTGACATCTCTTCCCAGAAGTGTGAAATCAATCTAACGCGAGCCGTGCGGACACAGCATCGTTTAGCAGCCCGGACCCGTGGGGGCTGTGCTCCCTCCCTCCTCCCCTTGCTGTGTTTCTGCTGTGAGTAAAACGGGGATGAAAATATTTATGTCACAACTGAGGTGCAAATTGCTGTGCCCTTTGAAACCTCGGATGCTGATTCCTACACAGGCTGTCATCCGAATTCCCAAATACCTTTAAAAACTGGAAAACCACCTCCCGGGTGGTGATGGGGGTGGCTCAGCCCCTCCGTCATCCCCCGGTTATTCGCTGTGCCTGGCGGAACAGCAGCGCTGGGACGGGATTCACTGCCTGCGCAAGCACATGCTGATGTCTGTCAAAGATAGTGGCTGCCTTCGCGCTGCCCTGCCCGCGAATCCACTTTTGGCAGACAGCTGGCTATTTATGAGTTTTATATTTACCCCCGCAGTTGTGCAATTTTGGTGTTCATCCACCAATTTCTATTGTTTTTTCCTTTTGTGGGAGTTTTCCGCTGAGGCAAGGCGGACAGTGAGGAATACATCTCCAGGCTTGTCAGTACCTTCATGAGAGACATTAAGCATAGAGATGACACACTCCCAAATTTGGTTAGAGGCAGATCCGAATGCTGTGCCTGAGCTCTGCTCTTGAGAACATGTAATTTGGCCAAAGAGATAAAGAACTGCAGTAATGCAGGGAACACACAGTAAGCCCAGGCAGTAAGATTTTTCACAGGAATTTTTCCAATATGTGTTAACATATATATTTCATTTCAAGCAGCGCATCTAACATGAAGGCAATCCTGTTATTTCTGTTCTGGAAAGCATCCAGTCCCCTATAAGCCTTCTGAAAAAGCAGCATAGCTCAGTCACGGATGGAGTGTATTAGTGCACGCGGCGCGAATGTTGCTGACTTTGCGATCAGCAAAACCATAATGAGCTCCTTTGACCACGGGAAAGGAGCGTCTTCCCGGAAAGCGGCCGTGCCTGCTCCCCCACTGCCCTCCTGTGATGGAGACGTGCGTGGGACCAGCCTGCCTCTGCCGAGAGGTGAGGAGGCTCAGTAAGTTGTTGAGAAAATGCTTGAAACTCAGTTTAGGACTTTTTATTTTTCTTTTTTTTTTTGCAAGTTGGCAAGAGGTATTGCAAGTCCTTTTTCCCTCCTGCCCTGAGGGAATGGTTCTTACTCAAAATAGCTCAGAGATAACCTAATGCCAGCCATGAACAGGCTGTTGCTTCCCAGCAATATGGATCTGGAAATCCTAAAGATCCAGCCACATATGGTGGACCCATAAATCCTCTTTCTTGCCCACTGCCGTCAGCGTGCCTGGATGTGGCAAGACCCTTGGCTCATGCCGGCAGCGTCCCAGTTTCACTCTGTGATTTCCACCATGCCTGATCCTCCTCCCCTTCTCTCCACCACTGTTGTGGTTTCACAGGAGACTCAAACACAGTCACAAACAGACGTGCAAGGCAACGCAGCGCACACCTACAGCAAGAAGGATGGCAATGAGGTGTTTTTGCAGACCGGCATGAAAACAGCCCCACGCAGCCCCGTGCCATGTTAAGTGCCACAGGAACACGAGTCCTATTTTCCTCCTGCCACATCCTGCAACCTGCTAAGCCAAGCCTGGTGTGATCGCCTGGTGCTTTCTCCCATGCATTGGTGGGTGGTCACCTACCTCCTGGCAGGCTTATCGGCCCACAGCTCTTCTCTTTGGGACCTTGCTCCAGCATGAAAATCCGTTTCGTACAGAGTCGCCATAGCCCGAAGTGAGCTGCTTCGCAGGTGCTGTTGTATTTCTCCACTCTGGGGCTCAGCACGGCCCAGTGGTCAGTCACTACGGCTGCGAAGAGGAGCGAGACGCCCACCAAGATCACGGAGAACGTCAACCGGACCTTTAGGGGTTTGCTGCCCTCCATCCCGCTCCGGACCGGCGCTCCCGGCGGAGCGTGGCGAGTGATTGGCGAGGTCTCCCGAAATCCTGGCGTATCCGAGTGTTTACAAATGTCAGGCCCGGGGAGAGCGGGGCGGCTGCAGACAGCTGCTGGGCTGTGTCAGCGCGGAGGCTATTAATGCACCTAACGAAGCAGCACCCGGCAGAGCTCGGCTTTCTGCCCCGTCCTGCTGGCTTTGTTTTGGCTTTCCCCGACCGGGCGGGCGCTCGCTCGCTCAGAGACCGCCGTTCAAAGGCTGTAATCTCTTGACGTGCAGCATGCCCAGAAATAGGCATTAATAGGATGATTAACTTTTCAGCTCAGTTATACAAACATCTGTGTTTATAATAGCGTCAGGCCTGAGTTCAGTCGGATCCTAAATAGTTTAATAGCCCTGGAGCTCACAAACTGCCCACCCACGCCTTCAGCTCACAGCAGCCTCTGCAAGGAGTTCGGGGCTGGGTGTCCCTCCAGAGCCCAGCGCTGCAGCGTGAGGGAAGTGGCAAAATAAGCAAAATTATCTATTTTATCAATTAATTATAATTATTTTTTAATTCACCTGAAGTATTGTAAGTAATCTTATTTTTTGGTGCCTTTTTCTTATTTTTTCTCAGGCAAAACCTCTCGAATGCCTACTTGCTTTCTGCCATCCAGGCTTGCCTCGATGCACACAGTAACTCCAGCATTCACCCCTTCCATCATTCAGACATGATGTCTGTCACCCAGAATGCAGATTGTTGAGGCTGGGCCCAACCTCTCTCCTTCCCTTTGATATTTCAGCTTATCATAAAGCTAATTTGATGATAATATCAATGCAGAGACCACTATGGAGACGACATTACAACTGCGCTGTCAAATTGAGGAGGGTGACAGTACCTGCATATCAAAAGAATGATTTAAAAAAAGCCAATGGAAAGCTGAAAATATCATGTTATCGTGTCAAGATAACGTCAAAGGCACTCCAGTCCTGTCTTACGAACATTCTTCTTTGATGTCAAAATAACGGTGCAGAGGTGTCAGCTCAAATTAAGGAGGACAATCTGAAGCAAGGAGTTCAGGTGAAAGGGGCGTGTGGGAAAGGGAGAGAAAAGAAAGACTAAGTTTAAAAATATTGATCTGAAATATCTGTAATTGACTTAAAGGAGTTAACATTACTCTGCTTGATGTGTGACCAGACAGAGACACCCCTGGGTAGCAGGGTGTCACCTCTGAACCTGGTATGGTCATCGGGTGCCCTGCTCCTGGCAGGGAGGTGACAGTCATGGGAAGGAGCGAAAGTACATGGTGTGCCACCAGGAGGACGGGGACTGGGGAAGGTGCTGGGGACACGGGGCAAGGCAGGGACAGGAGACCATGGGCACATCTGTAGGAACACGTTCACAGCCCTCTGTTGGACTGTGTATGTCGTGCTGGGGCTGGGAGAGCTCTTACAGGCTTACATTTAAACCAGAACCAAGAGTTCTCATGAAAGTGGAAAATCCTAAAGGGAACAGACTTTAAACCAGAAAAGGAACGCATTAAACATGTAATGCCTTTTCTTTTGAAGTAGTCTCTTGTTAACTTTCACTAGACATCAGTCGATCTTTGGAGATGCATCCTGACTTTGCTTCCTTGATGCTACAAACTCCACAGTTTCTCCACAAGCTGAGTGTAAGAAAGTGAATGTGTGTTTGCAAATGTGGGCACAAAGCAAGGTTCTGGTTGCTGAGGAAGCAAGTGCTAATGATCATGCTGTAGACTAATTACAACCTACAAGGACTGCAGGGGTGGGAACTCATTAATTTTTTGTTGGTGTTGGTCTTTGTGTCTCTTCCAGTGTTGGCAAGAATCACACTTTTTGTTCTCATTAAGGTACTCCAATCTGGATAAGCTCCTCAGGGTTTGGTTTTGTTTTGAGTTTCCTAATAATATCCAGGAGAAAACCAAAGTGAAATCAGAAGGGAAGAAATCATCCTTCCCTCCCTTGCAGAGTAGAGCTGGGAGAGGAAATAAGTCTCGATGAGTTTCAACAGGTGAAAGGCCATGGCTTCCTTGGAGACTGAAAACTCACGTCACTGCAGCCGAGGGGAATCATTGTCCCCAGCCCCAACAAAAAGTGACCTAGAGCCACCAGTGCTTGGGAAAGTGAGTATTTCATTGGGTTGTTGCTCCCAGTGGGCTATAAGAGCTGATGTAGCTGCATCACATGGGCGCTGCTGCTTCTCCCTCTGGCACCAGCTCGGTGGATTTTTGGAGGCTCCCAGCAGGTATTTGGTGATCACCGCTTGTAGCCCCTGCAACCACTGTGGTGAGAGCCAAAAGGCTCCTCTGCCCATGGGCTGAGCCTCTGTCCCCAACCTGGGAACTTCTGTCCCAGTGTGGAGGCAAGTTGCCCTCCCCAGGAGGGCTGGTGGGCTGGGTGGGCACCTGAGAAATGCAGAAGTAAAACAGTTCTGGAGAAGCAAGGGACTAAAGGGGACCCCAAAGGTTCCGGCACATCCAGAAGACTGTGGTGCATAACCCTCTATGTTCCTGCAGTCTCCCCGTGTCAGCGGGCAAGTATTCACGTTTAAAAACCTGTATCTCATCAAATATAGACAGACTATTAATGAGGACCTGTTGGGAAACAGGGAGGGTTGTAATCAGCTGTATTTTAGCAGCAGTGAGTGAGACATAATTACGTTTCTCTACTGGAGAAAATGCTACCAGAGATGTCTCAAGACTTAGTATTGCATTATTTTGTCCCTAGCAGAGGCGTTGACTTGGCTCTGCTCCCCAGAACTCGCATTTTTCTGTATTTCTTCCAGACCTGCCTCAATATTTACCGCAACCAGCTTAATCAAATTCAGTGGTTTCCTTCTTGCAGAATCCCAGAAGCGTTTAGGTTGGAACAGACCTTTAAGATTGAGTCCAACCACTGTGTTCTGCAGAAGGCCCTTCCCAGGTGAGAATAACCCAGAGTGGAGGAGATTGTGCCTGGTCTGCTCTCAGTGTAACCATGTTCTTGGCAAACACCTTTCTTCAAATGGGAGCTCCTTAGCAATTTTCGAGCTCCTGAGCCCGCACTGGCACAGTGTGGTATGACCACCATAGTCATGGTGATGACTACACATGGCTGATACCTGGGAGAACCACCAGGTACCAGCTCCTTCATTCTGGGGCTGAAACCCTGCTCGCACTGAAGGCAAGAACAAAATGTGTGTGGGTGTTTTGGTTGTGTTTTTGATATTATTTTTTAATAGGCTTCCATGGGTGTGAAGAAGAAGACAGGACCACGCGTGAAGACCTCCTTTAGCCCAGGCTCCTCCCGGCCCCGCATCCCCAGGGAGCACAGGCAGTGCTGCCCGTCCCCACCACTGCCTGCACCTTTGAGCTGCAGCTTCATTCTCTTAAAATACTGCCCGCCACGCCGGCTGCGCCACTCCGGTAAGCGATCCCTTCGGCGGTAGTGAGGCAAGGCGGTGGCGGCTGTAAGATGAGCCCTTTAGCAGACAGGTGCAGAGAGCTCTTCATTCCCTTTTTATTTTCGGCACCTCCCGTGTTTGTTAGTTTTCTCATTTCAATGAAATGCCACATCCTCCTTGCTGGGCTCCTCTTCCACTTTCTGAAGCCTTGAGGGCTCTGTCTTTGCTTCCTGCTCAAACACTGGCCCCTTTCGACACATCCCAAGGCAGCCACAGCCCTTGGGGTCACTATTTACCTTTTGCTCAGCAATGTGGGAAGAGCCTTTATGTATTTTAGTTGAAGCCCAGCTTTGGGCTTGAGCTTCGAATGGCTTCACTACCGAGTGTCGGAGGCATTTGTAAAGATGAATCTTGTGCCAACTGATCGTACGTAGAGGGAGAGGGAGGCAGACAGCGATACGTGGGCAGTCTTTTATCTTCGAAGACAATCTGGAGGCTTAGGAGCTGGGAAGGCAGAGTTAATATAAGTGTTTGTAGAAGTATTGTCTCCAATACAGGGATGGTTCGGGATGTCTGGGAGTGGTGAGGGGCTGCTGAGCTGCCGACGCGTGTTTGGTGCCGCCAGGGTTTTATGGGTGTGATCAGAGCAAAGCTTTCGTGGAGCTTTGGCACATGGGGTCAAGCTTTCTTCAGGCAAATCGTACAAGATCAAGGAGAGGGAGGTTGCTCGGAAGCGAATTCATGTGGTGCCTCAAAAAGTGGAGGCAAAGCACAGGCTGGGGGGCAGCACTTCAGAAGACACTGGCTTATTTCTCTTGACGGTGGCTTGCAGTGCCTCTGGCCACCACACCAGTTTCTAACAGGGCACTGAAACCAGAATATTCCTCCTATGGGCCAAGTTTAAGCTGCAAACTAGAAGGTTTTTCTTAATTTCTGACCCAAAAGACTGGAGATGTTGTGAAGGTAGCTTATCTTGGTGATTTTGTGGTCTATAGGACCACAAGCATAGTTTTTTCTCCTCTGATGTATTGGCTTTCAGTAGTATTCCCAGCTGCAATCAAAATAGGTAGAAATGTGGGAAAAAAAAATCACAGAAATCTCAGCTCAGAGAACCTGGAGGTTGGAAATCTATATACCTTTCAGCACACAAAATTGAATACATTTAAAATGGTTTATTTAAAAAGTAAGGATTAAGTACATTGTACATGGTTGTGATTACACCAGTAGAACCGAAGCACAGTGGAAATAACACTTTAGAACTGCAAACAGAAATGTAACCTCAAGGGACATGATATATTAGCCCTTGTGGATATGCGATCCATACAGAAAGAAAAGGAAATATAAAAATAGTTTTTTGTTAGATGTATGGGTGTATGAAGTGATTTCTCCTTTTGGTCCTGTTGTGTATGAGAAACTAGGAAGGGAGAGCTGGCGATATACCTGAAACTTTGTTTCTAGGAAAACTGAATCTAGTCCATTAGCATTTTTTTTTTATGTTGTAGGGTAATACCAAAAGACTGAGTTAATGATATGATGATGATATCTGCACACCTTGTTGAGAAACGGGGGCTGATTTCCCCTGCTGTACAGGGAAACCAGAGAGATGTGGAAGAACAAATTTGTATTTCTCTTTTTTTCCTAACTATCACTGAGTGATTTCAGAGTCCGAGCACAATCTAACTCTGTTCAGACAGATCAGCCATGGGGCAAGACACTGTTCATGTGCAGGAATGTGGCAAATTTTTCAGTTTTGTCAGAATCAAAGTTTTCAACAAGAAATGACTGATTTTTGGAGGATTATTTTTTTTTTTTAACTGGAATTGTCAAATGAAACAACTTTTCCTTTTTTTTTTGCTTCAGTTGAACAAAAACCCGTGCTGTAATTAGACACAGACCACGAGTTTTAAATCGCAGCTCCCATTCTTCCACAGGCCAAAAGCTTTGGTCGTGTTATCTCCTTGTTGTTCCCTGCCCAGACCCCCATCCCCGGAGCATCCCACAAATTCCTCCCGACTCCAGCTCCGCTTTTCCCATGCACCTGCTGTAGAAGGAGCAGATGCTCCAGCTGGGAGTGAAGCAGAGCATCGCACTCAGGAGAAGAAACCAGCCCTGACCCGGGGGAGGAGGCTCTGGCAAAGAGGAACATCCCAAAACACTCAGCAAGACTTTCTTTTTTTGGTGTAAAAAGTACTGCACGTGCCTCTGCAGGTCTGCCCCGGGCTGAAGAAAAGCCTTGGACTGTGGCTGAAATCCCATGGTTGGTTTCAGACACGTTCACTGGAGAAGGACGATTAAAAGAACGAAACCAACACGCGAAGCAAACCTCACACTGTCAACTTCCAGTTCAATGTACATGAGCTTAAGAAACAGCTGATATCTAACTCCTGGTTTTAAAGGGAATGGTTTTATTCTTAATTACAGTAAACACGGATGAGGACTTATTTCTAACTATTAGTTTATTAACACAGTGGGAAACAAATAGTTCTGGGAAATTGCACTTGAAAAATACATCGACTATAATTAGATGTAAATTAATTAGCACTTAGTATGACACACTAATGAGACAGAAGGTTGTTTTTTTCATTGCAAACTTCTACTTCTATCATAGCTAATCAAAGTATTTTAATATTACGAAGTCTCAAAAAGTAGGAAATAATTTATTGTTTGAAAGCATAAAGATTCTTGTAAAAAAAACCTTTTCATCAAGAACTTTAATAATTTTAGAACTCTTTTATGATGTCCTAGCCGAAAAGTAGGTAAAAAAGTTTTCTCATCTGCCTCTGTTTGAATTTCTTTTAAAAAGCTTGTGTAACATCTTTCTCCATAGTGTGTTGATACAGAAAGTAGCACAATATTTTCCACTTTTAAATCATTCCCATCGCACCATTCGCTTTAGCTCTCAGAGTCCAGAGGTTTGAAAAAGGATCCCAGCAGAGTTTTAACCTGAATGGAAACTCTTAATACGCAGGGATGAAGGCTCCACCAAAATAATGCTGCCGCTCCTCCAGGCGGAGGGCTAACAGCAACCAGGGGAAGACTTTTGCTTAAAATTGGGAATTGTGTCTTGGTTCTTGGAAGGAGAGAGGCTTACGCAGGGTTTATCTGGGGTGGGTGGGAGAGGGGGTTCAACTTGCTTTTCGGGATGTTAAGGCAGCTCCTCTAGGATTTCCCTGGAGGACTTGGTTCCACGAGCTCAAAGCCTCGTATCCAAACCACCACCGAGCTGCTGACGCTGTGGCCGTCGCAGGATAAATTAAGACTAAAGAGGTTTTAACAGTTGGGCTAAGATCTCCCACCATCAGTGAGCCAGGCTTTCCAAATCCTGACTTTTTTTTTTTTTTGTCTTGTCACCATTTCTCTAGTCTCCTGGTATCAAAGATTTTCCAGGCAAAGATGATGGGTGTGTTGAAAGGAATCTATGGGAATTAGACGCTCCTCTCCCACGGCATCTAATTCATCCCAGGGGAACTGGGCACGTCATTCTTATATGGCTTGGTCAAGCGGTCACTAAAATCTGTATGAGTACTACTAAATAAAATTAGCTTTGAGTCAGGCCCTTGAGCTTCGAGATTCCAAGCCTAAGCATAAAAAATGAAAGCAGGAATTTAAAACAAAATATTTCAGACTTTTTTAGAAACATACAGAAGCAACGGGTACAAATTAGTTCCTCCCTTAGGTGATGCATAGAGTTTTCTGTGGGCTCTCTGCACGTAAGTAGATTCGTCATTACAAAATAAATTAAATTAGGTCGAACCATCATTTCCATCTAAAAGCAACTATACCTTGCACCATGCGGCACTTATTCATAATAAAAAGAGTTTAATAAATATCTCATAAACGGTGATTATTTTTGTTCTGTTTTAAAAAATACAAAGTTGCCATCCGTTCCGTTAACACTCAGTTCCCACCGCTGCGGGAAGGTTTGCTAGTCCGAACGTGTTAGCGTCTCATTTTCTTACGCACATTGCTTAGGTATCTTAGTTTCCAGTAGCATTAGTGTTGCACTTGTGAAGCAGTAAGGAGAAGAGGAACGCAGTCGCAGGGAACCGGTGGCTTCGCCCACGCGAGCTGCCCCGGCTCAGCTCCGCTGCTGCCTCTCGCTATACGTAGTCTCTAGGGGCTCCTGACAGACAGCACTCAGCACCTTGCCGGATCAGGCACTAGGGCTAGTCGAAATGAGAATTCAAGTTTTCTAAATGTTAGGCAAGAAATGATATTTGCAAATATGCTCAAGTCCCACTTACTTTAATCCTTCCCTTTCCGGGTGGTTCAAGATGCACCCACCCTCTTCTCCCCCACCCAAGGGACACCTTACACCCAGAAATGGGACCCTTACCACCCCATCAGGGAGTCTGTAACGCTCAGGACGTGGGTGCTCTACGGTTTCAGTAGCACAGGCCGGTTTTAGAAAGTGTTGCCTTCAAAAATATTTTCTTTTTTCTTTTTTTTTCCCCAAAAGAGGCAAAGCTTATGCTGTGTCAAAGGAAAGTGGCTCACTTGATGCGTAGTTCATATTCATCCTTGGGCTTGATTATAAATTATCTTTGCAAGTTTGTATTAAGGGATCTCAATATTAGAAAAAAAAAAAGTCGTACAACAATTTCTCTGTAATCCTTTAAAACACACTGGTGGCAAGTCCTTTGCAGTTTCTCCAAGACTTTGTACACACTGCAAAAGTGCAGGAACATTGACTGCCTTCATCTCGTGACACCAAGAACAGAAAGAAACAAACTCCAAATAGCTTCAAAAAAAGCTATGAGTGTGTAATATCTTTATGTCAGTCCAGAGGATCTCCATTTGCTACCTCAACAGATGCCACAATTAAAGAGGTGAGAGGGTATTTAAACATCGTTCCTTCTCTTTCAAGACAGATCCCTTCTGTTTTGATATTTCTTCAAAAAAGCGCGAGGAAGGAAGGTACTTCAAACAGGCGTCGTTCTCCTGTTGACCATGTTGACGTGGAGTCCCTCCTTGAATTCCTTCTGAAGGAAGTTGTGAACCTGCAGAAAACTGGCTTCTTGGTCCGCGTTGTAGCTGGCAGCCGTCGTAACCTTCAAAGGCTCTCTGGAAATAGTGTACATGGAAATTTCGTTCATGGGAATGGTGCTTGCTATCTTCATGCCAACCGGAGAAATGTCTCTAGATGGAGAAGGCTCTGTAGATCGAGAACTGGATCTGGACCTCCGCCTCCTGTACCTGTAACTTGGCATCCTGGCATAAGGAGAACTGGAAGAAGTCTTAAGGAATTCCCTCTTGGTCTTAAACCTCAGCTCTTTGTTCTTCTCAATATAAATGTTCACAGCCAGAACACCTATGGTTTCAGCCACAATAAAAGACAAGGCTCCAAAATAAAAAGACCAACCATAGTTGTAATGGTTCTTTTTGTCCTCATCTCGCTTGTCACTTGGGTCACCTGCATTGCTTGATATGTAGACAATGATCCCTATGATATTACTTAGCCCTAGAGAGAGAGAAACATAAATCAGTTATGTGGCTGGCAAGATAAAATTCAAGCCACGTTACTTTCTGGACCTGAATAGTTCATAGATTATGAGCAGGAAATTTTATTACATTTATCTACTCTTTCATTTATCTCAGAACCTCATTTATTCTTGAAAAACAAAGAATAGATCCACATATGCTTGCATGGATCCCAAACTATTCAG